TAAATCAAAGGAGATTACAACTGCTGTAGAACTAGACAACACGGTAGATAAGCTGGAAAAAACTCTAGCCATAGCTTTTAAAAAATCCACACCAGTAAGCGTCCTTAAGAAAAAATCCCCTCCATGGTGGACGGGGGAGCTTAGGGAGCACAGGTCAAATCTCAGAAAAAATCTTTAACGAGTGCTACAGAACAAAACTGTGGCGGCCATACAAAGATGAATTAAGGCAGTAAAAAAAATTAGTAAAGAATGCTAAAGAAGACTCTTGGCAGTCCTATTGCACATCCATAGAGAACTGTAGGGATTCCGCCAGACTAAGCAAAGTTTTATCCAAGGAACACACCAACTCCTTACAAAGGGAGAGGACGGTGCATGGACCAGGACAGCGGAGGAATCACTAGAGACTCTCATAAATACACACTTTCCTGGCTGCGATCAGAGGCCAAAAACATGGCCTCATACAAATCGTCAGCAACTTTCAAAAGAGTTACTCGACTCAATCGTAGACAAGGAAACAATTAAGTTCGCTATAAATAAATTCGCCCCATACAAATCCACTGGCCTAGATAGCATCATTCCGATAATTCTCCAGAAATTACAGGAGCCTATGGTATCCTGGCTGGAAAGGGTCTACAAAGCCAGTATCAGCTTGACATACATTCCGAAAAGCTGGAAAATAGTCAAAGTTGTCTTCATTCCCAAACCGGGAAGAAGAAATCACGAAAATTCAAAAGACTTTCGACCAATAAGTCTTACATCTTTCCTGCTAAAGGTACTGGAAAGACTTTTAGACCTACATATTAGGCTTTTTCTGGGAAATTCCAAACTTTCCAAAGCTCAACATGCATACATTAAGGGCAGGTCAACAGAAACTGCCCTTCATGTAGTCGTGGGCACCATAGAAAAATCACTCCATTACAAGCAGTACACTTTGGCGACATTCCTCGACATAGAGGGGGCCTTCAATAACATAACAGTCGAAGCAATTGTTCGATCTCTTGTGAAGGTGGGAATATCTGACCACATATGCGAGTGGATCGAAGAAATGCTCAGAAACGGAATCATAATTTGAACCATTGGTTCAGTAACGCTATCCCGTTAGAGGCACTCCCCAAGGGGGAGTTCTGTCTCCGCTACTATGGGTGGTGGTACTGAACGACATTCTACTGGATCTCAACAAAGGTGGAGTGGAAGTAGTAGCATATGCAGATGATGTAGTGGTGGCGGTATCAGGTCTCTTCCCCTCAACGATTAGTGGAATCCTAGAGGGATCTTTGCTCCGGCTAAACACCTGGGTTATAAAAAGTGGTTTCAACCGTAGCAAGACGGAACTGATGCTGTTCACCAATAAAACAAAAATACCACAATTCAGGCTTCCCTCCCTTAATGGAAAGCTGAGCTGGAAGACAAATATAGAGAGGCGGGTTGAGAGAGCTTACACAGCTTATTATACATGTAAAAGAATATTCAGTAGGAACTGGGGATTGAAGCCAAAGCTTGTCCTCTGGATGTACACGCTATCATACGACCAATACTAACGGATGCGGCGTTAGTTTGGTGGCCAGCCCTAGATAAACAATACAACGTCAGGAAATTAGGCAGTATACAAAGAGCAGCTTGTGCAGGTGATACAGGGGCAATTAAGTCGTGTCCATCTGATGCGCTTAATGTAATCCTGCATCAACTACCCATAGAACTCCATATCCGCGAAACTGCTGCGTCTGCGGCAGTCAGACTCAAAGAGTCAGGCTGCTGGAGGGCGCTGCAGTACGGCCATAGTAGTATTCTTGACAAGCTTATCGAATCAGGGAAACAATCAGATTACCTCTTACAACAGATTTCAGGAAAAGCTTTCAGGTGGAGTTTCCTTCAAGACGGGATTGGAGTAGGGGCAGGATAGTCGAGGAGAATTCCACTGAAATCTATACTGACGGACTTCCGTATAACCCTCGGTGCCGTAGCTGTAATCTTGTGTGAAGTAAGGAAACGGTCCTTCACTATATTTGCGAGTGCCCAGCATTGGCACAAATAAGGCAGATCACACTCGGGAGTTTTTCCATCCAAAATCTTGGGGAACTTTCCAAATTCACCATTATTAACCTAAATAGATTCATCGGAAAATCCAAATGGTTTGACGAACCCAACGAATCATGAAAGCAGATAAAATCAGGGGTCCCAAAGAAAGCGTATCAAAATGGTGCTTTCAGCACTAATTGGGTCCTGGGAACATACCCAGGCGACGCTTCTACCAACCAACCAATACAATTGAATACTTTATTTAAATATAACAGAAAATTACCTTTAATTTTCGTTTATAACCTGTTATGTAAAAAATCAAAAACCATAGTGTTTTTATATTTTTATATGCCTTAGACTTCTGCTACATATACTTTAGCTTTATTTTTAACAGGGCTGTGGGTGAACAAGAACGAATTAATGCTTAAAACACTAATAAATATTTGTTTTATTTAAATACGGTATTCAATTGTATTACTAATTAGAAATTTTTCTGTAAATTTT